TATGAAAAACACAAAAAATTCAAAGTGAAATCGCAAAAATTAATTTCAACCGCGGTTGAAATGTATTACCACCACGGTTGAAATTAATTACCACCGCGGTTGAAATCATTTCAACCGCGGTGGTAAATAATTTCAACCGCGGTGGAAAATAATTTCAACCGCGGTTGAAATTAATTTTTGCGATTTCACTTTGACTTTTTTGTGTTTTTCATAATATTTTGGAAAATTTAATTTTTCATGTTTTAACTATTTTTACGATTTTGATTAATTATTGTTTTTATGAATTTTTGTGATTTTTATGTATTTTGTGTCATCTTGCTAATTAAAGTTTCTCTATTTCCCTCCATTCCTTCTATTTTTTGTCGGTTTCTCGAATTTTCACAATTTCAATTCCTGTTTTCTGCAGTTCTTCTGCTCTCAAACCACTGAGAAACGTCGAAAAATAAAAAATTGCAAATGTCCCCAATGGGCCACGGTATCTATTGTGTTTTCATCTGGATTATTTAAAAAAAAAAATAGATTTTGTCAATTTTTTTTATTTTCTTATTTTTCTTTTATTTGTTATATGCTCATCAAGGTTATTATTTGTATATATTATATAAATTATAATGTATTTGGCTAAATTTTGGAATTTCTTTTTCTTTAAGTCCTATTTTCAAGTTTTCATAATTTAAATTATCTAATCGAGTTAATTATCTTAAGTAAGCAACTTTTTACTTAAATGCTAAAATTTAATTTATTAAAGGTATTAATTACCTCCCTTTAGTTTTTGGCCATCTTGAATTTCAAACTATAAATCAGAAACTCCTTAAGTTTGTACTTATAAGTTTCGCAGCTTTATTTTTTTCTGCCTCTTTACATTTACTTAAAATTTATTTCTGAATTTTTTTTAGTTGATTTTCAAATTTAATTTTGAATTATTTTTTTTAATTTTCTGAATTTTTTTTTAAGGTTAATTTGTTAGTATTATATATAATTTCATAGTACTAGCCTAGGTCTATTCCACTACATACATATACATATACATATATACACTATGCAAGTTTACATTTAATGTTATTTCAGGTTGCAATAATTGTTCATAGATTTAGTTTCATTTGCTAATTACTGTTTGTTTATCAAGTATATAGTTTTAATTTTATTATCAGTTTTCAAACTTAAGTTGATTCCATCAGGTAACTTAGTATAATGAGGTTTATATTTCTATTGTCTTTAAATTAGTTTATCTCTATATTATTTTTCTTGATTGCTTTGTTTTTCAGCTTTGCTTTCTTTCTATCTATATCTTTCCCTTTATCTTGGAATCCATCATTCACTTGGCGTGCACATCAAATCTAACACAATGCATTAATATATATAACACTGACTATTTGTTTTATTTTCCAGACACGTTTTCCTCTGGGTATCAGGAGTAAGTATTGTGTACATATGATATCAAAATATTTGATATCTTCTGTCAATTACATATTGACTTATACGAATTAATTTTATTTCAGGTCATACAACAATATCATTTTGCGTATAATTGTGTTTGCATATTTCTGTATGTGTTTACACTTTTCGTTTATGCTAATAATATTCCGTTGTTAAAGAAAAATTTGCGGATTATTTCGTGTTTGCGTATAAAGGCCTTTCGCGTATGCGAATTCATTTATATTTGCATGTATGCAAATAATAGTGTCTCGCGTTATTGATATTTTATAAAGTGAATGTTTTTGTCCGTTTAGTTTATATTTTAGGGTTTTGCAACTTGTATTTTCAGTTTACCTGTTTTTTTAAGATGTCTGATTCTGAATCAGAGAATGTTGGAGGTGCCACAGGTGGTTCTGATGCTAATATTACCCCTTTGGACGTACGACCAAAACAATTTTCTTTATCAACCAGTGACGGAGAAAATATTTTGGAATGTTTCAGAAAGTTAGAGGTTATTCCGGACACAGATTCTACGGAAAGTTTTATGCAATGCATGAAAGAGTATCTGGAGTCTACTGGACACCACGGAACAGATGATGTTGAGGTACCTTTAGAAGCTAGAGATACTAGACCTAAGATAACTAATCCTGTTAAGTTAGAGCTACCATCACAGATACAGCAACCAAAGTTACCTACGACGAAACATGACCCTTCTGCTACACCAACTACCAGCTTACCAACTACTGGCTTACATCAGGTACAGCATACAACCTTATCACCGAACCTACCAAGGATTTCAACATTTTCAGGTGATCCAACAGCTAAGAATGATACGTCTTTTGATATATGGAAATTTGAGGTTCTCTCTCTCAAGTTTATTACAGGATAGTAGGTATAGTGAAGAGTCGGTACGTATTGCTGTGGTGAAGTCACTCAAAGGTGAAGCTGCACGAGTTGCTATGCATCTTGGTCATCAAGCATCAGTTAGGTTGCTGATTAAGAAATTGTCAACTCGATTTGGTCTTCTTGAGGAAGGTCAAAGTTTATTATCTAAATTCTACAGCGCCACTCAACAACCAGATGAATCCGTTTCCAGTTGGGCTTGTAAGTTGGAAGACTTGAATAAAGCATTATTAGAAAATGAAATTGATAGGTTATCATTTGATTCCAGGTTAAGAAACAAATTTTGGAGTGGATTAAGATCAGATCTTAAAGATAAGTCGGCACATAAATATGACCGTATCCAGGACTTTGACCATTTGTTGATTGAAGTTAGGAAAATAGAACAGGATTGTGGACTTCTTGCATCTACTTCTTCCAAACCCAAAGCTAGAGTTAACAGTGTGCAGAAACCAGACGATTCCCAAGACTCTGACTTAAGAGCAATGGTGGCTAGTTTAGCCAAATCGATGCAGGCACTACAGAAAAAATGTCGAAGACATTCAGAAGAGAGACAGACCTCAAGCAACTAAATCAGATGCAAGAACATCATTAACCTCAAGACAGCTACCAACCTGTTATAGATGTGGACAAGAAGGGCACATAGCAAGAGGGTGTAGGATGCCGAAGAAACAACAGTGACTAGATGTCATTCCTGATGTACAGTTACCAGTCAAACATTCTAGTCGTTCAAAAGTTATTGGACATAGTAACATCACTGTGGTGGATATTTGTGGTGAACATTGTGCAGCCTTGTTGGATACTGGATCAACTGTATCAACTACAGCTAAGTCATTTTTTAAGGAGTATCTGGAGACAAAGGATTGTACATTAGTTCCACTAGATGAAATTATACAAGTTGAAAGTGCTACAGGACATAATTTGCCGTATCTTGGATCTGTTTGTTTGAACCTTTCAATCCCAAGCTTTGACACTTCCAATGTGGATGGAATATTTGTTGTTGTCCCTGACACTGCTTTCAACTCAACCACCCCATTACTTATTGGTACCAACATCCTGAAGCCGGTCCTCAACAAAGTTCTTGCGGATTATGGTCATAATTATCACATGACAGCTCAGTTACCAGAAACATGGACTATGACATTTCAGTGCATGAAGATGCAAGAAAATATCCTACACAACACAGTTGGTTTAGTAAAATTTTCAAAGCCCAAGTCCACAATTCTACATAGAATAGGATAGAAAATTACACACTACTCGGAAGGCAACATGTACTTTTTCAGAAGTCATCAGTATCTAAACTACCATCTTATGTTGAGATTACACCTACTATAATGGAGGTTGATCCAGACGATTTGTGTACTCCAGTATTAGTGAGAATATCCAATTTATCATTATCTAAAGTGAGAATTTCCCACAGTCAGTATGATGTGAGTTAGTTGCAGTAGACATCGTCAGAAAGCCCACCAGTAATAGCCTAACACCGACATATGAGTGCCAGCCGATAGAAAATAACTTCATGGATGAGATTGATTTTAGCAACAATGCATTGGAATCTAACCAACTACAAGAGTTAAAAGATTTTATTAAAAACTGGTCGTAAA